TGCAATAACTCTCTCAGTTTTAACCAAGATAATTAAGGAATCTGACGCTAGTGTCATTGAATCGATGTGAAATTCCCTCTCGAACCTATTAAAGTTCTTAACAATAAAATACCAGGTATAACAAGGATGCTGAAGCTTTGGAGGCATTCTCCAGTGACCAGATTCTTCGGTATTGTAAGCCTAAATGTCATGCCTTTCACTTTGAATAATTCTGATTGAAAGGAACACTGATTGCTACTAGTCATAACTATAAAATGTAGAGCTGCCATTTGTTTTAAAAAACGCCCACCATTCACTATAAACAATATATCACCCAAGATGTCATATAAACAACATTCACAATTTATTATAAATAAGACACCCACGATTCGTCATCAGAACCTCACAAAACCAGGACAGTGATGCTTATCATTCCACACAGATTTTCATTTTGAATTGATCGGTTCGGTTATTACCACGAGCCGCTAAAGCAATGTGACAAATTGAAATAGAAAACGATGACCAAACATTGTATGGTAATTACACCTGAGATTGTGTTCATATCGTTAATATATATAGAGAGGAGGAGGTGCCCAAAGTTCCAGAAAGTAAGCCATCAACTTTCCTTTATCTAATGTTATATATTTTTTCATCATTATGGTTGCATCAAACTATCTTAAATATGTATTTGTGAAAATAATGCTGAATTTTTATATCCATTTTTACGTCATTTAAGGCAGATTTTTCAGTACGTAAGCAAGGATTATGTAAGAATTTCCCGCTCCGTGATGATACATATATAAAAACCGACAACCTTTGGATTATCTGTCAGTCTAATATCCAATACAGCTGAGACAAATGTGTACAACATTTAACTTACCGAGATTTTGCCACGTATTCACGCTGTATGTAAGTATATGTTAACAGATCGAAAACCAACTGTAAAACAATTTAGTGGCAGGACAATTCTATATTGTCAAATATAGTCGAACCCGGCTATATTGAAATTCTTGTGGAGTGACAAAATATTTCAAATTATCCGAGTTTCAATATAACCGGGAACAAGCTTATTCTGATAGGTCAATGTCGGTGATGACCTCCACGAGGTCAGACTTAAACCCTGCCTTCGAAAAACACAACCATGAATAGTCTTGGGTGTTACTTATCCCCATGCATGATAAAGCCAATTCATTGCAATAGCAAAGTTAACCAGAAACTCGCGCCTTTTCTTCATAATTTCCAGTTTGCGTGGAATCAATTCTGTAGGATGTCTTGAAAGTGTTTATGTTTCCTTGATCCATACGTTGGAGGAAGGATGTTGCATTCGGCGCAAGAACCTTATCTCGATGGAATCCAAGTTATTCAGGGGCAATTGCCAATTGTGTGAATCGATTGATTGTGGAAGCAGAACAACCCATTCTCCTGGCAACTTCCCTCTGAGAAAGCCCTCCTGCCAGCATGCCCCGAGCTTCGTGTCTTTCATTGTCTGTCAGTCGAGGCATTTGTAGCAAATAATGATGACAATTTTAAAAAATGATGACGGAAAAATGTCTGCCTGTAACTACAGTGTTCACTAGTAGTGACTGAGCAAGGATATAACGCACTTTCGAGCGCCGGCGTGCAAACTCATGCTTTTACGACAATGCCCTGTGGTACGACAAGGAGTTGATATTACTCGACCATTATTTCGTTAGTTTTGTAGTGCATTGTGTTGTGGCTAAATACAGCAGAATAAGAATCTAATCCTTGTTGTGAAGAATATATTATGTCCAAAATTTTAGTGTTGCGTTTTCATTGGCGCCGAGTATATTAAGTCTTAGTTTGGGAAGGCCTCATGAAAAAGACCCTGTTTTGCATAAATATCCGTATTAAATTAACTGCATAAAACTCATAATTTTCATCGTGTAGATTGTGCTGGGACATAAAACAAAGTCTGCATTCAAATATGAATGTTTTCTTTGTCTTCCTGTCGTCACGATTTCGTCACAATATAAAGTTAGCAGTAAAATCTTTCTCGACGATATTGTTTTATTTCGTCGTGACGAAAGTCATAACGAAAGGTATATAAAGAAGTCCCGTCATGTGGAGATAAATCGTGCAGCTTTGGACAGTTTCTTGTGTTCACTTGATAATGTGTCGTTGCATATTTGAAACCGCACAGATTGTTTATACACTGAAGCGTTGTTATGAATGTATTAATAGTTTTGAAAAAAGAAAATTAAAAAAGGGTGGTATATGGACTTTTCTATATTCGCTTTAATGTCACCAGGTCCTGCTTTCGTAACAATTTGTTTCATTAATTTCAATTGATTAATAATACTGTCTTGTTTCTGTTATCATTGACAACCTTTGATAAATATTTGTTTCCGTCACATGCCTCATATGAAGTAAAATATGCTTCATACCAACGGTTGTGGTGAGGACAAACGGTTTGTATATCAACTATAGTCGTAACAATTTTTAAACTATCTATAAGAGCATGCCACGCATTACCGAAGAATGTTACGTGGCACAGATGTTTTTCACAAGTAGGATCTACGCAGAGTATATAGAGTTTGAATCTCATAAACAATAAAACAAAATATCGGCATGTCAACAGAATATTAATTTCGCCTCATATTCTATGAAACTAGGACAAATTAGGTACAAAAGAAGGATTTACACAGAGATACAAGAAAAGTACAAGGATAACAATACCAGGTGGTCTGGAAGGGTAAGCATCCTCTGGATTATCGACACCTGTCACTTGGTCAATACAAGTAAGTAATGTCGCGTTCATGAACAACGGAACAACCAGACAAACTAACGATAATCAATACTTCCAACTTCACATCAAACTAGGACATAGAATATTGCACTTCTTCATCTAGTTTTTGTCATTTTTCGGACAGTTTGGGTTTATCTCTTAAGCCCTTAGGCATCACTAATTAGTCAAAGAAGGACGAAACAGCGGTATGATAAATGAAATACGTTGTGGCCCTAGTTATCTAACTCTAAATCCTTTTGTTTTAAAAGGTGCTAATCACTTATTCGTCTTTTGTACAATCTTTCTATGAGATCACTCTGGCGACCCCAAGACTTTTTATCTTTTATCATGAATTTCAAATTCAGGTGGGTATGTACGATGGACAACTTAAATAAAGTTCTTGATATCTTTAGACAGAACTTTATTGGTATAACTGAAAGTGAAATTGGAAGACGCTGTCGTGTCAATTTGTTTATATCTCCTGATGATTTCACAAACATTAACCAAAGTAATACAAGGGGAAGTATTATATGGAAGTAAACAAGATAAAAACGATGTTGTCTTCAACAATAGACAATTTAAACATGAAGATGATATAAGTATTAAGAGTGTACCTTAAACATTTGTTAAGTAGTTGATAAGACTGAAATGTATTGTTACAAATGTTACAAGAACTGACGCAGCTGCTGTCTGTCTTCTATATAATCGTATGTATTGTAATAACAGGACAAATACCGTCCATCTTATCTATTTCAAGGTTTAAGGGCAAAGGGGCAATTATTCTGGTCCTGATTGCAATACCGAGGATGACTACCTCGGTGATGGAGTGTATCTGACTGCTTTTATCACTAGTCCTCCACCCCTTGGTCGTGGGTTCGAGGCTTACGTGTGGCACTTCAGGTTGGAGGTCCGGGAATTCCGACTTTCCGTCACAAATAAAACATGATATGTCCCTGGTTGTTGATAAGACGTGACGTGACGACCTATTACTGCAATCAAAGGGTGACTACAGTTCACCTTTACCATTTCAAGGTTATAAGGGTAATGGTTCTGTTCCAGATTGCAATAACGGGGTAACTACAGTTCACCTTAACCATTTCAAGGGCAAAAAGATAAAGGCTCTGTATCTTATTGTAATAACGGGGGCGACTACCGAACGCCTGAACCACTTCAAGTTTAAAGGATAATGGTTATTTATCTTATTGTAATATCGGAAACGACAAGTATCCACCTTAACCACTACAAGGTTCAAGGCTCACAGGTTCTATTAAACTGTTACAATTAAAATTGCTCAAAGAGGACATATATTTGTACATATGAATTTCCTATTTACAATTCAGTCCTACAGCCCTTCACTCCACACTCCGTATCCAGGAAAAGTACCTTTGTACAGAAAGTGAACGTAAACAAGTGCTTAACCGCTAAGTTTTAACATCTTTTTGAAGATAAATAGAGCTGTCCTTATAATGTCCTTCGGATTGTAAACATAATTGGTGTTGGGTATGTATGGATATTTCAGCTTCCAATATAAAGAACATGATCATTTACTTAAATAAGTCACGTTATTACGGTGTAAATGTCCCATTGGTTCAGAAATTCAACAAAATACAAATACTCTTGGCTAAACGGCAAAATTTCAGTTTAACGATTTTTAACATTCTACACCCGGCAAAGCCTCGGATTAGAGAATAGATAGAGATATTTCTGTTCTACCTCCAAACAACAAATGTGTCTTCGTCATTATTTGTGTGAGTACTTATCTGATATATTGTTTGTACGCCACGTTTGTTGTAGTTTTGTTGAAGTGTTACAAATACTTAATCTGAAATAAAAACAAATGTGACCAGGTACTGAAAACATATCACTTTAACATGTATTTAGTATCATAACTATCATACAAACAAACACAACATTTCTTTGTCTTTGTTCTTTTATTATAAGAAAATGAGTGAGAATGAAACTGCACACCAACTAATGTTAACGCATGAACAACAGTCACGATACCATTCGGTATGCTTCACATCACGTCACGTGTTGGTTTGTTAATCCCTTTTATCGTAGTATACATTTCGATTTCTGCAACTCATGTTCAAACTTGATGCCATCAATATTCATTAATATTGTTGTAGCACCGAGCGTAAAATTAGGAATATAAATATAATTATAAGTTATCTATCCTCACTGTTTTGATGATTATTTTTAAGAACAACGGAAGCTCTCCATTTCGACATGTTATTTACGATAAATTCCCATAATAGCCATTACGATCTGCATATCATTTTGTGCCGCTACTCTCAAATATTTCCGGTTGACTGAATTCTTGCCCATCATGGATTAAATGTCCTGCTTGGTTTAACACTCGTTTAAGCAAATTCATGCGGGAGGGTCGCTTGTCCATGCTGAAACAAACAATATAATCGGTTAGATGATTACAATGTTGTCTGCTACGATACATAGACACGAACAGGTTAAAAAATTAATGCCATTATTTCTATCAATTTAATTGCTTGTCATTAACACAGAAGAGTGAAAAATAGAAGGGCTTTCAGCAGAGTGATATGGACTCCGAGTAAATTAAATTTGGGAAGATATCAATATTTAGGATTCGTCAGTGGTCCTTAAAATCTATATTAATATCAACTCATATCAGGTTATATAAACGAGAACTGTGGTAGTCACATTACCATAAAACAAACGCATTATCAAAGTAAAAACAACCCGCATTGAAATAAAAATCCCAATTTATATCTTACAAGTATCATCTAAATCATCTTGCATCATTCAGAAACATGTGTTTCAACTATTGTTAGCACTGGGCTTTGCTCCCCACAAAAACTTCAACACGGAAGCAAAATTGTGAGTTAGAACCAATACTGGCACGTGAACATATCTAAGTTAAGCGAGGATGCTATCATTAGGAAATTGAAAGTTCAACACTATGAAGAGCTCGCTGAAAGCTGTCCATTCAGACCAAGATTACCACGTTGGCATAGAGAGAAAAGTTGGAAGACCATTGACGTAGACAGACGACTCCTGAGGTAGAAAAAACCAAGACGAGATAAGGTAAGGTAGCACAGGTTTTTCAAAAGAGGTGAAATATCTGGTGATCGTAAGGTAAGCAAATGAATACTGATGTATTTACAAAATCACCATACAAACTCTCATATCATGATCAACGTGAAGATTTTCCTGGGGACATCTAACAGGTACAAAGACAATATTTTCAAGAAGGGAAAGTGTTTTCTACCACATCGACGACAGCCAATAAGTATATTCATGTCAATCCGAATAATGTCACTTTCTCAAATGATCCCCTGATATATAAGAACGACCCGACCCGACATACTAACGCCATCGAGCATATCGAAATTTACATCGCGCAAGAAAATGGAATTTTTCATGATGGGGGTTAAAACCTGTTCTTAGTCTTCATTGATATGCATTTCGAGGAAATCTGCTTTGTAAGCTTTCGGTATTCATTATAGACATAACGAATCAGCTTTGACGTATAACCATCGGAGTTTCGAGAAGCATTTTGCTTAAGCTGCATCTTACTTGATATACGGGTATACGGAATGAGAAACGTGTGTGCTAGGAGTGGATGATCAACAGTACCACAACAATATACGCACGTCTGGATGACAAGTCAACATGATTCATCATTTTAAGATTGCTCCGCAGATTCACGTCTATTTAAAACACTTGTCTTATTTACCATTCCAATACATTGCCCTACAAGTTAAATTGTCTGGCCTTTCTGCGAGCTCTGTAGGATATCGCACCTTATCATCGTCAACATTGTTGAGTTATATTGTTCCGCGCCATCAAATAAGACACATAGCTTTAAGAAATTATTCCTTTAGCATACAACTTATTCAAACATATGGGAAATTGCTGTGCCAAGCCTTCATTACAATCAGCATACTATCTGCTCTAGTTCTATTCATAATCAAACCTTTTCAGACAGTATCGAAGGATTTATTTGAACTATAGTACAAATTAATTGCTTCTGTATCGACTTGGCATATTAGCGGTATGGGTAAGGCGCGGCTATAGCTGATTGGTTACGTGTGCTCACACATAAACGCCCTATTATACGAAACGCACGCGCTAACCTTTGGATACACAGATTTAAGAGTATACGACATTTCATATGTGGATGGTCTTGTGTTTTTTGTTATCCTTCTCGTAAGTTTACTTCAGTACACTAAGTCAGTTTTATTTTCTAAATACTTAGTAAATGTGTGTCCGTATGTAAAAGTACAATTATACATCATGTTTGATATCATTATGTTCGTCACCAAGACACTAAGACATATATTCTATACAGGTAGATAGATATTGCATACTAAGGTTGGCGAAGGATAAGATATAAATAAGATGTGTGGCAAACGCGGCATGGTCTTTTCATTTTTCATCTATTTATTTACTTATTTAATGTTATTGTTTTTTATTGTTGTTATCTTTTGTTTTGTTTTGTTTGTTTGTTTGTATTTTTTGACCATAACATTCTTTTTTCGCTATAGACAATGTGAAGGAAGATTCTTTATACATTTCCAGCTTGAAGGATTTGTACCAAATAACATAATTTCGGTTGGAGATGTCAACTGCCCGATTGGCAAACGTTTAGCACTTGTTTGAACGGTGTGGATTGATGTATGTAATTACTATGATTAATGATGCAAATAGAACACGAGCTATTCCCTTTCTTGGGCGATAAAGACCAGTGTTTTCGATGACGATTTTCCACGTGGTCACTATCCAAGCAAACACTCACTATAACTGGCCATCTTCGGTGTAGTAGTAGTACCAATGTGAAGGAATGGTAGCAGCCTGGTAATTTGTCAGTTTATCTTTGTTTCTTTGAACAAATCAAACTGCTAATTAAGAGGGTTTTTTTTTTAATTTCGTTGGACACGAGAAGACAATATAAGTGAGATGCGAGTTCTCCGTTATCAAAGACGATCAAGGCATATAGTTTTTACTTCGTTAATAAGCTAGGGAAATGAGAGAGTAAGGGAGACCGGGGTATTATCAACAGCCTTCGTTTGTTATAATTCTAAAACCAATATGTAGATAATAAGCACAGCTATCGAACTTTTCTTTCATAATAAGGTTACACGTGTGTGTGATAACATCAACAGTTATGGAATGTGTATACATTTATATGCCGTTTTATCGATTTAGAATTTTGCAGTATTTACCTTTTGGCATTTCCATTGCCCATAGAGTTGATGAAACTGACGATGTCATGTAGATGCATATCTGTGAGTTGTGAATTGGGATTGTCTTGAGATGTGGACTGGCCATCAGGATGACCGCCGTTCCGTTTGAAGTAACCAGTGTCCACCATTCCTACACATGCGGCGTAATTATTGAACAAGAACTGGAAATGTTTATAGGCAGCAATGTCGAATTGTCTCAAAAGTGTCAGCACAGAATCAATACCACGACCTGAAATATAAGATATCGAGAATATTACTTCATGGACACAAATATGGGGCATAAGAAATGGAAATCAAACATACTACGAAGTTAAGCAATAGGAATTGAAATTATACACAAAGTTAAAATATTTTTTATTTACTAAAGAAATTAATTAAGGAGCATTAAAAGATATATTTCAGTGGATATTATTAAAATGTAACATTACGGTCCACGTAGTGATCTCATTGAAAGAAAAGTCTATTGTTCGTGAGACATGGAACTGAACGATATTTTGCCTGCTGGTTCCGTTGTTATATACCTTGTTCTCTTTTGAGAACGTGGCATTACTTACGTAGACTGACCAAGACTTACATGGCGGGTGTCGTCGATGAAGAAGAAGACGCTACCTCTTCCGGAACATATGGTCTTATTCTCCATGTAATGTTTTTAGAGTTTCCGTGTAAATTATCCATTTTGCTAATATTTTACTCTAGTTTTATTGAATATGAGTTAATAGTATGACCATATTTACATGTTGGCAGTTTATTGTTGTTTTTGTTTATCAAAAATAAAATAGCACCATAGAAGAAGAAAATATTACAAGAAATTGTTTACCTGTACGTTCAGATATAAACATTAGATTCCTTAAGGGGTTGTCACCACAGGGGTGAGCTGGGGACGGATGACATAGACAAATGTATATGAAGAATATCTTCAATAGGTCTTTCTTCTTTACCATCCTTCTGTACGTCAGAATACCTGAAATAACAGACATTCTGTAATTTATATACATAAATATCAACAGCTAAGCATAGAAAATAATGAGCACCATATCATATGATATATAATATCTTCACGTCATGACTACCCACAGAGATATATTTTGTTAACCATTAGAAGCAGAATCTGATTGCAAAAAACAATCTGTTCTTTAATTACACTTCTTTACCATTAGGTCAACAAATTCGGATTAGGTCAGATAATAGCAAATACATTTAAGTGATTCCCTTCAAACGTTTCCGTTGCTGAAAATGAAGTAACTTGTAGTCAGCTGTTGATTCATGTCTCGGGGAAAGCGATGATGATAAAATTTCAACTGTGATGAACTAATCATAAATTAATACACGGAAGTGAAAAAATAGCGACACGTCACTCAGGTAAGATAAATCCCATCAACCACATGTGACATAAATTAACACAAGATAAGAAACTGGCTTGTTCATTACAGAATTAAAGCACAAAAACAGGATTGTTTACTTGAGAAGTCTTTGCGCAAAGAGTCGAAGGGAGTTTGCATAAACGACTCACATGTGAAAATCACATTCCAATTTAAACATGAGATACACTTAAGCCAACTTATAAATGAACGTGAATACATGTGAGAGATTGATTTATCCAATAATTCCTTACCCTGATAGTCTAGGTCAATGAAGCGTGTGAAAACGTATACTAAATTATAACAAAATTCATTCGTTTTAGGTAGTGATTGAGATAAGTGCAACCTTTTTAGAATAAAAGGCTGGATTATTGGGTACAAGTGCATAATTACTGTTCATAAACACTGTGTTTAACGTCTACCGAGACAATCAAACAGGTCGCTAATTCATCAGCTCATACAAATGTTCCGAGAAATAGCAGCTTCATTCATTATTTTAGTACTAACTGTTTATAAGAAGAGGTTTTTAGGACGGAATAAGCAATGTGTTGAAAACATAATTTCTCCGAATTGTCTCTTTAATATCGCCTTCACAAAAACAAGAATAAATTCTCTATTGAGGAATGTCAATTCCTTCGATTGGTAGGTACCTTAAACTTGTACAAGTCATAACGAATATTTATATCTGTCCCGAGATGAAAGATGCCGAGAACTGTTGATTCGATAAAGCACAATTGCCGATATCCGGTTCTAAACTGTTTAAGATAAATATGAAAAGGTGCTGACGAACATTGTACTATAATCAAACACCCTTATTTATTTTAATCCCACCTGTCCGGCTGTCCTGTTCCTGGGCGTACACATAATTGTCCATCATTTTCTGAACAATGTATAGACTATTGGAGAGGTGAGGTAATTAGGTAGCCGATGGAGTGTTAATATGTTTAAATGGCGAGACCATTGTTGTCGTAAGCGGAAACTCTGATCATTCATACGATATAAACGCCAGCTTTTGTTCACATGTAGAATCTACGACTTCGGAAATAGAACTACATAATTGCAATTATTTTGGTCAATTTTTATCAATAATTTGTGATATCGATTAAACCTGACTATGTAGGAGGTGATTACGGACTAGTATAACTTCCTTTCAGTCCACTGGATTTGGTGCGGGTCATATATTTGTACATTTTTTTTCCGTTTTTTTTTTTTTTTTTTGCTACATCAGTAATGTTGAAACTATAACGGAACATATTACCACACATGTAATTGTTAATAAAGAAATGTGCATATCATGCAGTTGGATATTTGTATTGTCAACTCCGAACTACAGACTAAAGCTTAGGTTAAATGTCTGCATAGTCATCAACGTCAGGCAATACCATAGTGCAGTTAATTGTGACGTCACAATAGCCTCTAACCAGCATAACGTCGGACTGGTACCGATTACCATAGGGTATAGTAAACTATCAAGTGCTGGATTTCACAAGATGTCCACACTGACCAGGGGTTTCACATTAAATGAAAATAACTTTAGTCGATATACCGGTATTAGCCAACTGCTGGCGATGTTTACAAGAAATTAGAAAATCGTTGGTTATCGAAAATAAATGTCCATGAAACATTGCTAAAACAACTCTAAGACTCTCGTGATACCTGGTAAAAATAAAAGATTAATGGCTTTAAGAAGAATAAATAGAATGTTTTATGATTCTAAATAGAAAACTATATAAGGTTTATGATTCTATATATGCCACAACAGACTGTTAAGATTCCTATAGAAGCACACCAATCATGGTGATATTTAGTAGAGACACACAGATTTTGTTGGTTTTCATTAGAAATTGACGTAATTCTCGAGAATATAAATGCTGTTTAGATGTAGAAAAAAGTTGGTGATATTTAGAGGAAACAAACTTTTGATATGATATAGCTGTAAAACAGTTGTGGTCAGTAGAAGAAAAAAAAACAAAGATGTTATTCTTAGAAAGTTTCAAAAAAACATCATGTAATAAAAATGACATTTATCTGTAAACCGCAAAACGAATATTAACAATGACAGTACGAATGTATATATCTATATACCCTTAATGTATAACAAATATCAACGATAATTTCTCGGCGTTGCTTTGTACTATACATCAATGATAATAATAATAATTGATAAATGATTTTACCACATGATTGTCGAGTAATTCATTTAATAGATTCATGTCATATTTTTTAGTTTTACACATTGTGACGTCACAGCAGGTAATGAAATGACATCATACTCTCACAGAGGGTATTTGAATGTAACCATGAAGACTGGACACCAAACGGACATGATTTCAAGCTTAACGTACAAATGTTTTCTATCATATTTGCTTGAAAAATCGAAGCTGTGATAAAAAAAATCTTTAAATCGTTTTTCATGAGATATTTGATGCATGAAACTTTCCACGATTTGTTTTTTATATTTTACCTCACAAAAGACATGGTAGACTGAAAACAATTCTTAAAACTTGTAGATTTACTTATGATATGGAAACTCACGTGAGATCCTATATAAAATCAATATTAACGATTGAAGAATTCTTAACCACATAAGGCTGGTATTAATTTCATTATGATAAACAAATGAATTAGACACATATTGTACACTATCATACTTTTAATACCAATATTTAATTATATAGAAAATGATGTCTCAGAGTCGTTATGATCAATCTCCAATTCCTTACTCTCATGGGGAATCATTGGATTCCTATTCACAATGAACACTATTTGGCATTGCGAACCGTCCACCACTAGGTCTTATATTAATACATGTACTAGATAACCTAGGTTCTCTGCTAGCCTAGTAGACAACGCTTTACAAGACAACGATCTTTCTCGTTGATAAACTTTCATTAAAACTGTAAAAAAACCGACAACATATTCACACATTTTTAAGTGTATGTGACCTTTAATATCATACTGGTCATGTCGGCTGTATTTTAGTTCGCGCTCCCACTTAACAGGTCAGTGTCTTAATAGTGTGATGTGTTAAAGGCATGGCATGGGTTGATGGGCTTGCAGAAGACTTAACATTTAATGTTGGTGTATTTGTGTAAGCTTATTTCCGGTTTTAGTATCCAAGGTCTATAACGGTATATATATGATAGGTCTGTGTTACTTTTTCAATTTTCATGGCAAAGACGTTGTGTCAAATAACTAAAATAGACATAAGTTGAATTACGTTTTAAGATCAGTATCAAAAATATTTCGTCTTTAAACATAGAAAAAAGATTGAGATATATTAACTTCGTTGTTTATGCTGTCACCAAGAGGGGTCAATCCTAGCACACATTAACTGGTAAACAAATACCTATTATGCACACACACACCAACACCACCACAAACACACACACACACACACACACACACACACACACACACACACACAAACAAACACACACATATACTTGTATATATTTCCATTTCTATTCTGTCATCATATTACATTAATACTAGACGATCCATTTCATAACGAGATTACAATTGCAACTGGCTAAGCTGTATTGTGACGTCACAATGTTATTTATGTGCTTAATCAATAATTCCCAAATTAAAATAGGTAAACTATAATTTTCTTTATATAAACGCAGTCGATAAGAAGGGCTAGATGCAGATCTTTCATGAAACTGTTTTGATTGGATTCGGAAGTAGGTCACTTGCAATTATATCGACTGTAATAACATTCAGGTATTGTTCATTGTAAGTATATGGGGTATATGTTTATGAACATCCTTCGTTTGATAATAATTAGTTGTCGATTGTATAAAAATGAATTTGAATCGTTAATGATTCATTGAAATAAATATTCTCAACAAAACAAGTAACTTATCCGTTTAAACTTTAGCTAAATGGATTGTTAAAGCTAGAATAGATACCGAACAATTCAGTGTACTGAGAAGGTACTATTTTTATTTTGGTATTTTTTGACGCCAAATGTATAACGTTAAAATATAAAATATGACTACACTAATTAGTTTTTATATGATAATTAAATAGCAATTACGGCGGCACAGAAATTCATTATTTCACTAAATAGCGCTAATTAAAATTACGTAAGAGGCGCTAAAACTTGAGTACGCGAAATAAACTATATTTACAATAGTTTCAGGAAACTTATGAAAAAATGATATGTGAAGGAAATAGTGGGGGTGGGGTGGAACCTTTTTAGCTAGAATCTTCCTATTGTCGTTCAGATTGCTGTTTCTTTACTATATATAAGAGTGTAAGTAAATCTCGGTAAGTCGTTATTAGATTAACACCTATAGGGAAGGGGGCGTACCAAAACAAAGTGGTTTCTGAAATTTGATACGTATTAAGTTGATGACGAGATACAAGTGTAATAAAAATGTTTAATCCGACAGGAAAAAATGAGTAGCGAAGAAAAGGACTTTAAAAAAAATAGCACAGTCTACTTAAACCGATGACAAGTACAAACAGACTGAAAAGCGTATCCTTCTATAATTAGACGTGAAAAGCGTAATAAAACACTTGGCATAATTGCCGCGTTATCTACCGAATAAAACCGTGCAATATAACCTATTATGACTACACGAGATGATATT